GTGTGCTGGATTTAATTCAGTCTTTTTAAATAATGGAAGTAGTCAACATCAATGGCAGGTTCTTATTTCTTGCTGTTAGGTAGTTTTAAAATAGTAGCTAGGATTCTCAAGAACAGGTTTTGATCATTTTATTATTGAAACTAACAGTAAATAAAGTGAATTATAGTATATCCAAGTCTAAACGCATTTTGATGTTATTGAGCAAATACTTATATAACTCAAAATGTAATCACATGTAATTCACTATAAAATGTACCTCACCACTTTAAGAAACAAGTTTGAACATTTTTGTATTGTACTTTAACATTGATATTATCACAGGGAAAAAAGATGAAAACTAAATATTAAAAAAAAGCTGTCTTGATATACACAAAGATGGAATTTTTAAAAATTATACTTATTTTAACTTTTATCGGGAAATTTCACTTTTAATTTTTAAATATATTTTTAAAGCAGAAATAACTTGAAAATGAAAAAGTCATAATTGTACAATTCAGTTATATTTAGTTGATTTTATTCTAATTACATTTTCAAAAAGTCTAATAGTTCTTATTTGATAAATTGCATAACAGAATTATCTTTAGGTCTGGCTAATTTTAAAAACAAAATATTTACTCATTTCATGTCTTTCTTATTATAATTTTGCATGTATTAACATTTTAGCAAAGTTACTCAAATTCATTACTTTAAATCATGCATTTTTCAGTATAGAATTTGGAAATTTTTAATATGAAAATCAAATGGGAATTAGAGTGAAGAGCAGGAAATGAACACACTTATTATTCCTTTTTTCCTTTATAATTGTAAATTTTACATGGCATTAAGAAAATATAAACAGTTAATATAATATTATAAATGTTAATCTTAATGAGAATATTTTCCTTTAATGTATATGAGCCCCATGTGTTTACTACAAAAGTGTTGACTGAAAAATAAAATAAAGTACTTCTTGCTGCATATTTAGGAGGGAGCTAAATATATAGACAATAAAATTGAGGGATGTGATTTTAAAGATTGGCAACTTACTTGTTAGAAGCAATTGCTCTGCAACACTGAACTTTGTCAGCTGAGAATAATGCGCTTCATGTACTTTGTAAATAAAATTTCAAGGTTAAAGTCTTTCTGACTGTAAATACAGTCCCAATATTCTGTTCAAACTTTACTGTATTAGGAGGCAACATAATTTTGTTAGTATCTACAATATACATACAATACCTAGGAAGACAGTGAGGTGAGTGAGGTGAAAGGATTATGGAGGTGGGACCAGAAGACATGAACTTTCATTCCAGCCTGGCGCTCTGAGTTCTGGGATCCTGGGCCCCCATTAAACTTCATAAATTTCAGTTTCCTCACCTGCAAGATGACTGTAAAAGAGCCTGATTACTAGATTAGATTTGTGTTTTTCAAAATGCATGCATTTGATGATGTCATGGGAAATCCAAGAAAGAGCATGGGGACCACAGTGGTCCAAGTGTTCCTGCTTAGGGCTTGAAAGATGACAGGTTAGATGGAATGGAGAAGAGGAGGAAGACATTTAAGACTGGGGAGAAACAGTAGTGGGAATTAGGAGTTTTAATTATGACTTAAATGAAATTTTTAAGTATTTTATCAATTGTTTTTTCACTTTTGATGCTTTTGGTTCATTTCTTTAAATGTTGGACTTTTTAAAAAATTAGGAGATTTCCGAGTTTTTTTTCTTCCATTTTTCTCTAAGTCATGTTTTTACTAAGTGAAACATTTCCATGGAAACTGCTTCCTTGATACTTTAGACATTTAGAAAAGAGAATTTGAGAATATTAATATAGAAGCAAAAGAAACGCCTCTGATTCTTTTCCTGACATACTTAACACTCAGGTTTCAGGATAAACTGGCTTAAATTTTGGACAATTACTTGTGTGAAATAATGGTTTTGGGCCTTTTTGTTAAAACATTAAAGGAGGAAGTTACTCTCCAGCAAGTTGGTATACTTCATGAATCGAGTAATAGCAATGTACTGGGAGCATCACCAGAACTTCTGTTAGAGTTTCAAAATCATCAGTTTTCAGTAAGATATTATCTGACATTATCCTTGTATGGAATTCATGAATCTCGGGATTACTTAGGGTCTTTAAGTTCTTCAACTCAAACTTTTTGTCTCTTACAATGATTTCTGATACATTGTACTTGACAGATGGTCAGCTGGATTTTTTTTTATGCATTTTCAATGGTACAAATCTCTTTATGTTTAGAAAGCAACCAGTTTCAATGCAGAGAAACTCCAAAATTGTCCTTGTTTTGAGATGAAATGTGCCTTCTTGTAGTTCAGTTTCTTGCTATCTTAAGAACAATTCTGTATTACAATACGAAGAAACATCATTGCTAACCATGCTCATATTAGACATCTTAGAATGCAATGTTTATTCCAGCCCTTTCCAAATTTCTGAGCACTCCTGTCTGCCAGTCTGATGTGCCCTCTATTAATCTTATTTCTGGAATATCCTCTTCTTCCTCTAAAACACTTCTGAGATATGTCTCACTCACATCGAGATTCTTTGAAATCAGAGACGATTTCTTACTCACTGGTGTATTTCCAATGCCATGGAACAAATATTTGTTGGAAAACTGAGCACAAATATGACATCACTGCCATTCTCAAGTAATTTTAAAATAATCATTGAGAGCTCCAGTAGGCTATGGAAAAGCATAGCCAACTGAGAGTCAAGAGAATGGTGAGATTATGTCCAGCAAACTATCTTGAAGAAGTTTTATATTTTTCTTCTTAGCATAGTTCTTGAAGAATGGTTATGATTTCAACATATGGAAATGAGGTCAGAGAGAACATCCCAGGAGAACAAGATGGTGAGAGCAAAGGCACAAAGTCAGGAAGAGGTCTCAAGTATGGAGGTAATGGTGAATTCAGACTCTATTCATTAGGGACGGACCATTGAAATGTTTCATACATGGGCACTACGTGAGAGCCATGTGACACAAAGAACTAAAGAGAGAGCAGCCCTTAAAAAGTTAATTTTCTCACTGATGAAATACAGCAGCATGTAAGCCCAGCTCTGCTTGTTGGTGAATCTCTGAGCCTCTGCCCTCATCCCAATTATTACTGAATCAAGTCTTTCAGATGTATGAAGTCAGAAAGCTTACTTTGTTTTAAACAAATACATTTCCTTCCATATTTGGGTTCCTTTTTCCTAAGAATAATTAAATAATAATAACAAATGATACATTCACAATAGTCAAAATATGGAAACAACCCAAGTGTCTGTCAATGGATGAATGGATAAAGATATATATATATAGTATGATATGTTAGAAGGTGTGATATGTATGTTTACATACACGGAATACAATATGTATGGAATACTATTCAGCCATTAAAAAGAAGGAAATCTTGCCATTTGTGACAACATGGATGGAGCTTCAGGGCATTATGTTTAGTGAGATAAGCCACACAGAGGAAGGCAAATATTGTATAATATTATTTATATGAAGAATCTAAAAAAGCCAAACTCATAGAAACAGAAAGTAGGATGGTGGCTACTAGGGGCTAGGGGTGGGGGGAATTAGGGAGATGTTGTTTCAGGGTACAAGCTAGACGATACATAAGTTCCGGAGATCTAATGCACAGCACAGTGATTACAGTCAACAATACTATATTATAAAACTTCAAAGTTGCCAAGAGACAAGAACTTAAATGTTTTAACTGCAAAAAAGAAATTATAATTATGGGATGTGATAGAGGTGTTGGCTTATGCAATCACACAACGTATAAATGTATCAAATCAGGACATTGTACACCTTACACTTATGCAATATTATATGTCAATTGTATCTCAATAAAAAAATTTTAAAAGCCAAATGATTCACATAGCTTTCCAGGAAAATTATGCATTTAATGAATTAGCACACCTAACTTGCTACACAAACCACGTGAGGAGGGACTAGAGAGAGATCAGTGAGAAGAAATGTGCTTTTCTGGATTAAAATGTGAATTTAGACTGACTCTGGCTTCTCTGGATCCTTTGCTAATATACAAAATTTTCTGGAATGTCGGAAGTTTTCTTCCAAGCTTGGAGACGAAGATTGTGTGGACGCTAGATCCACAGTGCAGACACGTATTTCCTCCTGATGTGCAGCTCTGTAATACCCACTCTAACGCTCTAGTGAGCTACAAAAAAGAAAGCAGAGAAAAAGGAAAACTTTACCTACATAGTTGCCATTGCCTTCTAGCTGGCTTGTCTCAAATTTTATCCTCTTCCAGGCCTCCTTTTTTTCCTTGAATTAATTTTTCTAAAATACATATTTTACTTCCCTGTTCCCATCTCATTGCATTAAGTCCAAGCTCTTAAAAGGGGTTTACAAAGTCCTTTGGGATCTGGCTTCTTCCTGTCTCTTTAACCTTATCTCTTTCAGCTTCCCTCCTCACCCCAGTCTTCAGCAACACTGAAAACAATACTGGGCCACCCTGCCTTTGTGCAGGAGTTACCCCCATTTTAAGTCTGATGAGTTCCTGTTCTTGCCTCAAAAAGCAACTGAATGGCATTATTTGCAGCAACGTGGATGGACATTTTAAGCAAAGATCGTCATTTTAAGCAAAGTAAGCCAGAAAGAGAAAGAAAAATGCCATATGGTAGAAGTTATATGTGGAATCTAAAAAAAAAAAAAAAAAAAAAAAGATAGAAATAGACTTATTTCCAAAACAGAAACAAACTCACAGACATGAAAAACAAACTTATGGACACCAGCTGGGGAAGGAGGGTGGAAGGAATAAATTGGGAGTCCGAGATTTGCAGGTACTAACTACTATATATAAAATAGATACACAACAAGTTTATACTGTATAGTTCAGGGAACTATATTCAATATCTTTTAGTAACCTATAATGAAAAAGAATATGAAAATGAATATGTGTATGTATATGTATGACTGAAACATGCTGTACACCAGAAATTTATACAACATTGTAAACTGACTGTACTTTAATTAAAAAAATATTTAAAAAAACAGCTGAAGTGCTCATTTCGGTGGCACATAGACTAAAATTAGGATCACACGGAGACTATTAGCATGGCCCTAAAACAAAAATGGTGTGCAAATTTGTGAGGCATTCCATGTTTTTATAGTGTATGATTCCCCTTATATGAGGTGCTTGAAGCAGTCAAGTTCATAGAGACAGAAAGCAGAATGGTGGTTAGGCACAGGAGGTGGCGGGGGTGGGTGGTTCATGTTTAATAGGTGGAGTATCAGTTTTACAAGATGTAGAGTTCAGTGCAGGGATGGTGGTGATGGTAGCACCACAATGTGAATGTACTTACTGCCACTAAACTGTACACTTAAAATGGAATAAGATGGCAAATTTTATCTTTTGTGTGTTTTTGCCACGGTTTTAAAAAAACAGCTAATGTTCTAGGCTCCTTTTCTCTGCACACATCCCATTCCCAGGGGGAGTTTGGCACGTCCATTATTTAATCAGTAGACTGAAATAGTTGCACCCTAAGTAATAATAACCTTGAACAATATTGTGCAACAATGCACCATAACCTTGAACTCACTGCTGCTGAATACTCATCAAAAACTTGGTTGGACAACACAATTGCGAAGGATCGCCCAAGTGAAATATAGTCCATGTGTTTCTACAGATACAAAAAAAAATCCATCCTTGGAATAAACCACACAGCAGACAGCCACACATCTAGACTGTATGGTTCGTTCTCTTGTAAAACTGCTTTTATTGAATCTGATTTGGCATTATGTCATCATTGGCCCATGCTAGGAGCCACTGTAGGAAATAGTCAGCCCATGAAATCCATTTACTGTATAGATGTGTTGAGGTTGGTGTGCTGTTCTTTTATTAACTATGAGGAAAACCTTTTTAGTTTTGGCACTGGAAGTAGGTTTATTTTTATTTGTAGGTAATATGAATAGTGTAATTGATTATCTTCTCATTTTTGTCTCCTTTCCAGAAAGCCTACAGGCCAACCAGTAGGTGGTTCTAGCATTCTCTAAACCTTAACTATACTATTCTGTATGTCTACTTGCTGTTGACTTCAAATTATCCGTCCAAACTTATTTTTCTCTCTGAATTCAGTTCGTTTCTCATGTTGCCTTTTATCTCATGTTGCTGTGAACCACTTTAAATCCATTCTTAAATAAATGAGGGGTAAATGAACAATTAACTAATAAATTCAGCCTCTTCTCTAAGTTCCTAATGGATATTGCATATACTTCTATTATTTTTATCACCATTTATTTGTATTTCATTCCTGCCATTCACAGTGGCCAATACACTCTTTTAATGCATGGTTTATATCTTACTAATATTATTGTTTGCCTCAACACAATTAGAATGCCTAGCTAATATTATGTCTATAAGTATGTCCATTAGATTGAACTGGTAACTAAAAGGAAATGAAAAATACAGTAACTTTGGAAAACAGAATATAACTTATTAACCTTTTCAACACATGGCATGTCCATTTTTTGCAAGTCAATCATAATTCTGAGGAGTGCTAAAAGTAAAAAGCTGAAAATCCAGATCAACAGCTGAAAGAATTCCCAGTCTTAAATGAAATCTTGTTTATTCTATTTCTTGTGGCTGTTAACATTTAACCAAGTATTCAACTCAATTCCTTTTCTTTAGTGTGTGTGTGTGTGTGTGTGTGTGTGGTATAGCAGACTACACGTATAGTAAGACATCATGGGAAAGACCTCTCTCTCTATATATATATGTGTGTATATACATATATAAAACTAATGACAGTATATATTCATTATATGTGTAGATACATATATGCATATGTATTATATATACATAATGCAAATATAATGAATATATGATTTTGTTACATATAAATATATAGGCATAGATATTAGTTTTACATATACATATAATATAAAACCATAGGTTTTATGCACATGTACCACATATGTCTATATATATGCAAAAATGCATAGGTGTATTTAAAAACATATGATGGGTATGTGTGTGTGTGTGTGTGTGTGTACATATATTCACAGTTACTTATATAAACTCATAGATATATTTATTGCCAAACAGGTCTTACTTAGTTCTATTAACTGAAATCAAACTCTTTACTCTGTTTGCACAACACAATTTTCTTTGGTTTTCTGACCTTTTTTAGCCTAATTTGCTTCTGATACTGCTCCTTTCTTGGCCTCCATAGTAAACTTGTTCCTGTGATCACTTTTCTACTCACTTACTCCACAGTCTACCTCTGATCGATTGTATTCCTAGTTATAGCTTTATCTACAAAATTCTAGCCTACTTTTCATGAGACCAGGCACATAGCCAACTCCCCCTTGGACAAGTCCACACAATTAGCATGATTTCTCCAAATGAACCCATCATTGTCCACTGCTGGCATTCCCACAGAATTGCTCCTCCTTTTAAACCCGTTATCTTCATGACTGGCATCTCATTTCCTCTCACCCAAGCCTGACCCCTGGAAGTGACCTCTCATTCTCCTTTCTTACCG